TGAGATTGGCACAGGACAGAGCAGAGTTTAGAGCTGTTGTACATAGGGTCGCTATGAGTGGCAAGCAACTCGACGGCACATAACAACAACAACAACCATTGAAATTAGAGATGAAGAAATTAAATATTTCTATCAACTTCTGTAGGTTGAAATACAACAATCAAAATGTATTTCTAATTACTGATGAATAGAGAATGAAAGTTGGAAAAAGACTAGGTTATTGTAAAACATAGGCTTGGTGATAGAAATAATGTCAGAGATTGTATGATAGACTTGTAAGAAATATGTCTTATTCATTGCAAAAACCCTTTTTTAACATACATGCTGATATACACATAGATCTCACTGGATTGAATACAGAAAATAAATCTGTGAAAAAGAAGAAGCAACAGTTTCTTCAGTATAAATCATCAGCCAGAAAGTAGAGAACAATAGTTTAATAGAATAGACCATCAACTGCTAATGCTGTTATGTACCATTGAGTCCCCTGTGACTAACAGTGACACACATCGTACAATAACTCTGAAGCTTGCTCCATTCAGAGCTAGTCTCACTGACTCCAATACACCTACCTCCACTGCCCCAGTTATTATTGAATCAAACCATCTCAACTGGAGTTTTCCTCTCCTGCCCTGTCTTCCAAACTCTGGTCCTTCCTGGCCATGTGCCCAAAATATGTGCAAAGAAGCTTCAACTGGGATCAACCTTAGAAGACTAGTCCACGGTATAGAGAAAATGCCAAATACAACCAGAAAAGCACAGTCTGTAGAGGATAAAATTGATGAATGAACCTTCTAAAGACTAAATCCCTGTACGCATCAAAAACTTCTTCCAACAGGGTGAAAAAAGAAAGCCTACTAAATGGGAATAAACACTTGTTAATACCATCTCAGACAAGAATCTCATAATGAAAGTTTACAGAATAATCCTGGGCCTCCACAAGAAAAAGACTAATAGCCCAATTATAAAATGGGCAAAAGACATGGAAAGTCTTCACAGAAGAAGATAGTCAGATGACAAAGAGATAAATGAAGAAATGCTCAAAATCACTGGCAAGAAGAGAAATGCAAATCAAAACCACAATGAGATACCATCTCGCTCCAGTATCAGTGGCAAAGTTTAACAGGGCAGCAAGTAATAAATGTTGGAGAGGATGTGGTAAGATACACTGATGGTGGAATTGTAAAATGGTACAACCATCCTGGAAGGCAGTTTGGTGCTTCTTCAAAAAGCTGAACACAGAAATTCTGTATGACCCAGCTATTCCACTGCTTGGAATACACACTGAAAAAAAATGAGAACTGAAGCACAAGCGGAGATTGTTCATAACAGCATCATTCACCATTGCAAGAACATGGAAACTGCCCAGATGTCCAACCACAATTGAACGGATTGAGAAATTATGGTACATTCAAACAATGGAATACTATGCAGCACGCAGGAGCTATGATTTTGAAAAGTATTACCTAACTTGGAAGGGACTGGAGAGCATTATAGTGAGAGAACTAATTCAATCTCACAAGGACAAATACTGTATAAAACCATTATTATAGAATGAGTATGAGGATCCTGGGAGGGGATGAGGATGTGTGGGGAGGGTAAGAGAAATTGGAAGAACCTAATCTGGAAAACAATGCATTCAAATTTTGTAAATCAACTAGTATAATAATTACATATATAAATAAAAAAATATATATATATGTTTGGAAGGAGGAGTGGCATCCACTTCCATAATAGCTTGCCTCCAGGAACCCTATGAACCTGGAGAGAGGATGAAAGGCACCAAGCATCGAGGACTCTCCTTCATAGAGTCTCTAGGAGTCTCCTGTGACTCAACAGCACTTAACAACAACTATATATATATATATATATATATCATTTGGATTCACAATCTCCAAGACAGACCTATTTCTTTTCACGACTCTTCTTCAGCACTACAACTCAAAGGCATCAATTTTTCTTCTTTCATTCTTATAATTTTTCCAGCTCTCTGATGCATAGCAAGTAATTTTTAAAACTATGGCCTAGATCAGGTGAACTTTAGTCTCTAGATGGACATCATTGCTTCTCAGTACTCTGGACAGGTCTTTGACAACAGATTTTCCCAGTGCAATTTGTCTTTTGATCTCCTAACTGCTGGTGCCAAGAGTGTTAACTGTGGAGTCGAGCAAGCTGAAGCTGTTTAGAACTTCAACCTCTTCTCCATCTATAATGATGCTGCCAATTGGTGCAGTGCTAAGAATCTTTAAATGTCTTTTGATGTTGAGATTCAATCTATATTGGAGACTATAGCCCTTGATCTTCTGAAGCAAGTGCTTCAGGTCCTCCTCAGTTTCAGCAAACAAGGTTGTGTCATCTGCATAACTGAAGTTTGTTGATAGAGTCTTCCTCCGATCCTGATGCTACATTTCCTTTCATAAATCCCAGCCTTCCAAATGATCTGTTCTGCATATGGATTGAAAAGGTATGAAGACAGGACACATTGCTGACACACTCCTTTTTTAATTTTGAACCATCCTGTGTTTTCTTGCTTTGTTCTGAGGACTGCTTCCTGGTCTGAGTATAGGTTTTGCATGAGCACAATCAAGTGTTTTGTGATTCCCACTCTTCTCTAGGTTGGCCACAATTTGTTGTGATCCACACAAATGCTTTTGCATAGTCAATGAAACACAGATAAGACTTTTTTCTAGTACTCTCTTTCTGCCAAAATCCATCTGACATTGGTGATAATGTCTCCAGTGCCACAACCTCTTCTAAACTCAGCTTGTATTTCTGGCAATTCTCTGCTAATGTACTGTTCCAGTCATTTTTTTATAATCTTCAGCAGGATTTTGGTGCATGTGATATTAGTGGCATTGTATGATAATTTCCACACTCTGTCGGGTCACCTTTTGGGGGGGATGGGAATAAATATGGATCTCTTCCAGTCAGTTGGCCGAGTATTTGTTCTCTGGATTTCTTGGCACAACCTGATGAGCATGTCCAGGACCGTATCTATTTGTTGAAACATGTCATTTGGTATTTCATCAATTCCTAGAGCCTTATTTTTTGTGAAGTCCTTTACGTCAGCCTGTACCTTCTCCTTCATCAACATTGCCTCTTGATCATATGTTTTATTCCTTCAAATTCTTCTATGTCAGCTAATTCTTCTTGGTTCAATGATTCTGTATATGCCTTCCATCTTTTTTTTAATGCCTCCTGGGTCATTCAATATTCTGCCCATTTGTTGTTGTTGTTATGTGCCGTCGAGTCGCTTGCGACTCATACCGACCCTATGTACAACAGCCGTAAATTCTACTCTGTCCTGTGCCAATCGCACTGTCTCTGACACTCCCATCCCAATTGTCCCAGTCATGAAATCAATCCACCTCATAGAGGGCCTTCCCCTCCTGAGCTGTCCCTCCACCCTCCCAAGCATAATGTCCTTCTCCAAAGACCGGTCTTTCCTTACAACATGTCCAAATTATGTTAGATGGAGCCTCAGAATCCTTGCCTCCAAGGAGCCACCCAGTTTGTTTTCCTAGCAGTCCATGGTACTCTCAATACTCTTTTTCCAGCACCACAACTTAAAGGCATCAATGTTCCTTCTATCCTCCTTGGTCATTGTCCAACTCTCTACTGCAACTCGCAGCTTGAATTTGTTCTTTAGACTAAAGTGCACCTGATCCAGGCTACGTACTTCCCAAATACTTGCTATGCATCAGAGAGCTGGACAATGACTAAGGATGACAGAAGAAGGATCGATGCCTTTGAGTTGTGCTGCTGAAGAACAGTCTTGAACATACCATGAACTGCCAAGAAAACAAATAGGCCTGTCTTGAGTAGGGTGAATCCAAGTTTCTCCATGGAGGCTAGCATTTTGAGGCTCTGTCTTATAAACTCTGGGCACGTGGCCAGGAAGGACTAGTCCTTGGAGAAGGACATCATCCTTGGAAGGATGGAAGGACAGCACAGGACAGGAAGACTCTGGATGAGATAGATTGATACAGTAACTAGGTCAAAAGAGGGAGGTGTGTCAGAGTTAGTGAGACTGGCCCAAGACAGGGCACGTTTAAAAACTGTTGTACATAGGGTCACTATGAGTCACAGGACACAATATCAATATTACACAAATACAATATTGATGAAGAGAATTCAGATATGATTGCAACTTACATTGGCAGGGAACTGCCAGACATGCAAACCAGATTTTGAAATGGACATAAAATAATATCAAATGGCTCTTGATTCTAAATGGAGAATACCAGAAAGATGTTTACCTGTGTTTTATTAACTACGCAAAGACATTCAACTGTGTGAATCACAAACAAGTTATAGGTGACACTGAGAAAAATGTGAATTCCAGAACACTACATTGTATTGTAGTGGAAAATGTGCATAGACTAAGAGGCAGTCATTCAAAAGAACAAGGGGGTATCATATAGTTTAAACGCAAGAAAGATATAGCAAAGTTTTATATTTATACCATATTTATTCAGTCTGCATGCTGAGGAAACAATGCGAGAAGCTGGACTATATAAAGATCATACAGTACAACAATATATAACCATTTCCATATCTTGACACCTTTGATGTTACCACATTTTTGGAGCTCTAGTGGAAGTTGTATTGCTAACCCAAAAGCCACACTGCCTTGGGAGAAAGATATCCAATCTCTTCCCCCAAATTTAGGCCTAAGAAACTCATTAGAGGATTAGGTGGTTCCTATTAGATGACAGTTGAGTTTTTAGTTACAGCAATAAATATGTTACTGTATAGTTTTAAAATATGAATTCCACTAAAGTTAAAGAAAATTAACACCATGTGCATTGTGTACTGGCAATGAGAATTGGTAATTCCTTTCAGAAATAAAAAAAAAGACGAATGAAACATATAAAGCAAAATTTACTATTTTATTCAATTAATGCTTATTCATAGATGACATATAAAGCATGGATTTTTTGAAGTTTTCTTTGGTATGGACTGCATCTCAATGTCAGGAAAACAAAGATTCTTACCAGTGGACCAATAGGCAATGTCATGATGGATGGAGAGGAGATTGAAACTGTCAACAGCTTCGTCTTGCCTGGATCCACAATTAACACCCTTGGTACCAGCAGTCAGGAAATAAGGAGACATGTTACAATGGGAAAATCTGCAGTTAGGGAGCTTTCCAAATTATTGAGGAATAGTGATGCCAGTTTGAAGACTACGGTTCCTTTGATTCAGGTCATAGTCTTTCCAATTACTAGATATGATCCGAGAGCTGGGCAACAAATAATAGAAAATTAATTGATGTCTTTGAGCTGTGATGTTGGAGAAGGTCACTGAACATCCCATGAATGGACAAGAGAATGAACAGAAATGTCTTGGAGAGGGAACAACCGGGATGCTCTTTGGAGGCAGGAATAATGAGGCTTTACCTTACATACTTTAGGCATGTTACTAGAAGGAGCTATTCCTTGGAGAAGGACATGATGCTGGGAAGGGTACAGTGACTGCTGCAATCAGCTCTTGTGTGCCAGGAAGTATGAGGATGGCACAGGATAGAACAAGGTTCAGATCTTTTGTTCATAGGGTCACTAAGAGTCATGCTCAACTCGATGGCAACAACGTATTTCAGTATATTTAAAATAAGTTTGAAAAACAATTAACTTTTAAACCAAACTTAACTTTAACTTCACTATTCAAATTGGAAGTATGAGAGCTTTGTGTATTTTTTGGCACAATCCCAGTAACACAAGAAATTAACAAAAGCATAAACACTTACTCGAAGGCCAGAAATCCTCCTCATGGTAACCTGGCGGTTTGAATCATGATGTCCAGAAACTTGGCTTGGACCCGGGAACATGAAATCTCTTGTATTTTCATCATAAGTAGACAATGTTTCACCCACTGCAAGAAAGATATCCTATGATTAATATTATAACAAAATATTCTATTTAGCAACATCAAGTACCATATATATTGCATTGATGCCTTATTGAAACATCTGCTTCAGGGTCTTTACAGTTTTTGGATTTGATAATTTTCTCTATAAAATAAAAACTAAAATTGAGTTATGCTAACATCCATGGAATCAAGATAACAAAGGGATAAGTCTTGAAGTGGGTGCAGCTGGAGTGCTCTTTGGAGGCAAGTATGATGAGGCATTGGATCACTATGAGTTGTACTCGACTTGAAGGCACCTAACAGCAAGTAGATTAACAGATTTAATTATTTAAAATATATATTCTATTTAACTAATTCTTTTTAAAATTCCACATTTAAATGCTAATAATAACAAAACAATGATACATGCCAAAAATTTTAGACATTTTCTAGAATTTGCAACTATCTGAATCAGATAGAAGAATCCCTACCGGTAAAGTGGTCAAAGCATTCAGCCACTATATCAAATGGTCAGTGTTTCAAACCTAATTGCTACTCTGTGGGATAAAAACGGAGCAGTCCTGTTTGCTTTCATAAAGATTCATAACCTTAGAAGCCCTATGAGCAATTGTGCTCTGCCCAGCAGGGTTTCAATGGGTTGGAACTGACTCAATGGAAGTGGGTTTGGTCTTTCATTGGAATTAGGTATACATGTAATTAAAAAAAAAATTATGTTTCTATGATGACTGAGGTTTTATGTTACCTTGGCTGTCTATGATTCTCTGGCTTGAGTTGATGAAATATGATGAAATGTAATTATTATCTTGATGAGATATGTTATGAACAGCCAATCAGTTAAAATGGAATTTTACTAGGCGTGTGGCCTACACTGAATATGTATGGAACTTGGAAAACCTCACTTGCTTTCTCCTCTATCTGTATCTTGTACCTGACCCGTCATTCAATCCTGGTGTTACAAGACTGAATTATTTGTTGAGCTGATCAAAAAGTAGGCAATTCAAATCCACCAATTACTGCATGACAGAAATATTGGTAGTCTCCTTCCATAAAGATTTATAGTTTCAAAAACCCAATAGAGAGTCATCAGGAATAAGAACTGACTTGTCAGCAGTGAGTCTGGGGCTTTTCAAAAATTATATAATTCAGTGCTCGCTTCGGCAGCACATATACTAAAATTGGAAAGATACAGAGAAGATTAGCATGGCCCCTGCACAAGGATTTCATGAAAATTCGTGAAGCATCCCATACTTTCTTTAAAAAAAAAGAATACAATTATATAATTCAAAAATATAATTGTTGTACATCTGTTAACTCTATCTCCCCAGAGATCACTAATGTTTACTATGTAGATAAAGTTTTATTTCCTTCTACTCCATAATAACAACCAATACATACACAAAAGATAAATAATTCTATGTAATCAACAAAAGCACACAATACTTGAAAATCACAAGCAGGTAAGTAAATTTTTAGAATTTTTAAAAAATAAGTCTACTTTAGTATCATTTCTTTTTCACTTTGAATTACTATTATTTATTCACCTTTAGAACAATATGTTCAAATACCATTTAAAATGTTAACCATTCTGTATATATTACTTTGATCTACTGATATATTACACAATATGGAACAATTATATAACTTTTGTTTATTCTTTGGAAAAAGGAGAGAAAATAAAATCTCTAAAATGTATTTCACTGCAGTAAGTTTCCATATCAGTTACCTTATCAATATAGAATTGATTACCTGGTGGAACAAGCTGGATCAACTCAAAAACTGCTGTATCATCTGAAAATTTAAAGAAAATTTTGTTGTAAATTACTTTAATGCCAAAGTTAGCTTCACGACCAAATAAAGTATCTATTAGGACAAAGTAAATGTTAGATAGATTTGTATGTGTGTGTGTGCTTGTGTGCGTTAAACAGAATGGTAGTTTATATGGTTACATAATACAAATCTTAAGGAAGATCCTCAATCAGGTCAGCTGACATAGTGGCTGCAGCAATGGACTTCAGTGTGTCAGAGACTGAGGATGGCATAGGATAGGATAGGGTTCAGATCAGTTATTCATAGGGTCACTATGATTTGTACTTGACTCAATGGCACCTAATAACAATAAAGTAATTTGTAAAAAAGCATACAAGAATAAAATAAAACTGTATCATTACTGACTTGTAAGAATTCATCAAAAGGCATAAAACGCATGATCTCTCCAGTTAAGACCATAGAATTTCCAACCAATGAAATACTTAGTCATTTAGGCCTTAGGCTACATTTATAATCAAAAGATAGTGAATGCCCTATATATATTGGGTAAATGAAATTGTGTAAAGTTTATATATATATATATATAT